AGGCAATTGGACATAAACATTGCCACGTGCGAGTGTTTTTTATTTTTAATCAGAAAATAACCAGCAATTTTAACAGTGTTCTAATAAGAATTCATTGGTCAAATTTTCACAGAATGTTCTTTAGATAAAAATCTATATAAAAAACGAAAAAAACTAAAATAAACTGCATCTCTACCTTAAGGACCATTCTGGATTTATGGTGTTTGGCAATATTCAAATTTAGTTGTCATCTTCCCATGCAATGGCTTCTGTTATTGTATAATAGGGTTGATGTAAACATATGTTACATATATGTGTGTATTTCAACTGTACAACAAATTATTTGTTGTACCACCAAAACAGCTACCGAGAGGTTGCTGAGTGTTTTGCTATGGTGTTTCAAAGTAGTTACATGATAAGAACTTGTTCAAGCAACTCTTACGAGGGTGTACCATTTGGCTAAAATGACATACATTAGGCACCATTGACTGTCCTGACATTTCATACTGTGTTATTACATACATTTTGTTTGGATAACTTTATTATATACAAATTTATACGATTGAATAAAATAAATTGAAAGGTAATCGCATCATGATCTTCTATTTATATTCAAGTGTTTGAGTCCCCCACTATTAGTTTGACGTCTATCCGTTACCCAACCTATTCTGATTACATAATGATCTCCAGGTGTGCATAGCAAACCAGTCAGTTTAGTTGTCAATGTTGCCGTTTTGCTGTTTGGAACAATATGCCGATGACAGTACCACAGAATTAAATGTTCACTTGAAATTTATATAAATAAATCTTGTTTTTGTTACAATTGTTGGTTTGAATTTGTTTCTTTGGCTCACATCTATTTGTTGTGCACCCATTCTTTTTTGCTAAAGCAGGATAAATGGTGATGTTTGAGTGAACTGTAACTATCACCAATGTCATGGATCCAAAACTAGGAGTGTTATTAAGAGGTTAATTTTCTAGAACACAATGTAATTCAGATATTTCCGAGCAAAAGAAAAACAAATGCGTAATGATTGATCAATGTTTTATGTGGTCATCATTCCTAAACTGAGGTCACTGATTTCAGAGTATATGTACTGTAAAATCTGTATTCTATTAAAATGGGACAATACAACAGAGGGGATACAGTTTCTATTAGAGAATTTGTGATTTGTGTTTGTTCTCCATTGCTCAAAAAAAATGAATGCGAATTTATTTGGGATGCGCCTTCTAATACAGATTTTACGGTACTCATGAGAGGGCTTGCTCAGGAAAGTTTGTTGTCATACATCTGTCACTAACAATAGACAGAATTGCAAAATTGTTTCAACAGTTAAAGTCACTATTCTTGTTTTTGATAACTGATTTGATTTCCAAATCAAATGGCCTTATGCATATTCATGAGTTTATAATGACTCAAAATCAAGGCTATAAAGGTGTAATGATTTGCTGACGCCATGCTTGAACTATATGATGGTGTATTGATATGTACTTGCTTCATCTACAGCATCCCTAAAATATTATTTCTTTTTCAGGCTTATAGAAAATTAGCAAAAGAATTTCATCCTGATAAGAATCCTGACCATGGAGACAAGGCAAGTCATCAGGGATCGTGCCCAATGTTTACTTACCATGTAGCATGTCTTCCTGCCGATGTATCAATTCCACAATAATTAATCACAACTGTACCTCTTATTCTCATATTCTCTGTGAATAATCCTTAGTATCACATCCTAATCTATTTTGCATTGTTTTGACTTTAAAATTGTCCATGTCTCAGTTTCTTATTTCTTTGACATGTTCCTATTATATCTAGAAGCCAAAATGGGCCCCCAATTTCTACATCTTATTATGCACATGGAACTATGTCACCGGGGAATATATTGGTTACCAGTGCCCGGTCTGTACGGGGTCAATATTAACGCTATTGCAGCTTTCAGTGTTATATTGTACACTAAATCTGATCAACATATTTAATAAACCATATGTGGTCATGTGACCTTATAAAAATGTATATAAATCATATATGGAACACTTTTGCAAATAAACATTCAACCAGTGCTTTATTGAAAACATTTGGCTCATGTTCTTATCAACATATTTAATAACCGTATATGGTTGTGTGTCCTCATTTAAAAAACACTATTGCAGATAACCATACATCGTATAATCAGTGCTTCTTGTCTTTCTTGGTTCCGTTAGAACTTGAGTTTCTAGGTATGTGTGTCCATCGTCATTTCTTGGACATACATTTTTTGTACCTGGACCGATTTTGTTTAAAGATAATACAAAAACAAATCATGAAAGGATACATATGCACATCAATGTTTTACATTTGGTTAACCTTTGACAGACGAGCGGCTATGTTTAGCACAAAAAACATCACAAATCAACATTTGAACACATCAATCAGGATCAATGGTTTCTTGGCATGCTTGAGAACATCAGACATGATGGCTTATTGAGGCACACAAGTTTGTTTTGGCGGCCATGTTGGTTTTATTTTCAGGTGTTCTTAATGACTCAGATGTTTTTTAACAACACAGACAATATTTTTTTTTGTTTATGTGTGGATTATACAATCTTGACTGAAATGAGAATGATTTTATTTTGGGAAGGTGTCACTTTGACTGAACAAAGCCTGTGTAAGGTACCATTTGAAGTAATGCTATATTTTTAACATGCTGAATTTTCCCCCAATATTTGATCATAATCTATTTATGAATGATTTGGTTTTTAGAATATCAGTATCAAAATAATAATGAATATCAAAATATTATGCCCCCTAATAACACAAATACATTTATCTTTTCAGTTCAAAGAAATCAGTTTTGCATATGAAGTTTTATCAAACCCAGAGAAACGTAGCACTTATGATTCTTATGGGATAGAAGGAATTCGTGGAGAAGCAGGCCCTGGTAAGTGACTAATTTTTAACCCAAATTGATTCCCCACTTTTCAACTCGACCCCTGATTACAGTACAAACAAGTGTATGTATATGAAGGGACAAGAAACTTGAGGTATACAGGTTAACTTTGTCTGTCTGGCATTACTATGGTATAGAAAATGGTATAGGTAATCATAGTTCTTTGTAATTGTTCAATATATTCACACATTTCAGGAAAAGTACTCACTATTTTTTTTCTTGGTTTCTGTCAAAATTCAAGAAAAAAACAGCCAAAAAAAAGAAACATCTCGGGCCAAAAACAAATCAATATTTTTAGTCTTGCACTCCATTATTCCCACCAAATTCCTTATTGACTGATCTTACAGCAGAGTTGTTTATATGTTTTTTCAGGTTCAGCAGATGATATATTTTCACATTTATTTGGTGGTGGCATGGGAGGCGGTTTGTTTGGTGGATTTCCTGGCTTTGGTGGTGGTGGTGGTGGTGGCAGGAGGCGAAAGCAACGAGGTGAAGACACGGTTCATCCACTTAGGTAAGTACTCTACTCTAAAATTCTTCTGCCGTTGACATCTTTCCAACAGGGTGTCAGAGTTTCACAGATTGAATTGTCTCTAGAAAATTTTCTGAAAAACTAGTCTCAATACTCGCAAAAATGTTATTTTGGCACTAGAAACGATGTTAAATTTTCTCCAATTTATATGAATTTCATATGTATTCAGACTACTGTAAAACTTTGTCTATTTTAGCTAATCTGTAATTTCTCTATTTCAAGATGTAAAATAATGTATATTCTCCCAAAGAGATTGTTGGCAACTTAGCTGAATTAGGATTCTGTTAATTTGTACATTGAGAAAAATTTGTCATGCAGCTATTTTAAAGTGTATGCTCTCTGAGAATGATTTTTTTTTCATGGAAATTTATCCACGGTACTAGTAAATTATTGAAAAGCAATAACCTGCATTTATTACAGGGTAACTCTAGAAGATTTATATAATGGTAAAATGTCTAAACTGCAATTGAGTAAGAATGTTATATGTCGTGTTTGTAATGGGTAAGTGATTACCAGTTAACTTATTAATGTCTTGCACCTTGGCTTTGGTATCTGGGTTTTAAGTTGCGTTATTGAACACATTTTGTTTGTAGCCTATAGCATATGAAGTAGTATGTGCCATAATAATATGCCAAATGCAACAATTGAGATGTTCCCAGGATATGTTGATTTTTTTATAAACTAATAAGTCAAATACTGCCAAGCATTCATGTATATTAAACTGTGGTTGCATTTTCAGTATTTTAGGGTGTCCATTAGAAGTCTTTATGTTGAGTGTGTTTTAAAGCAGGATTTCAAACTTTGTTGCACGTTTGGATTTTTATGGCTAAATCAGTCGGGTTCCAACACACGTAATATGTGAACGCCATAACTATGCATTCCAGTTCATGGCTCATTTTAGTGCATATTTTAAAAACTTCAAATAATTTTAACAGATAATACAACTTTCATAGTTGTATGGTTTTCCATAATATTACCAATGTAATGCTTTGTATTTATTAAGCCACAGTTATCACTGGTGTTTGATATGGGTACCATATGACATGCACAATGCGTTTACTTCACATAGCTATGAATAAATTTTTTGTCGTACTTGATAGTGAAAATACAAAGCTCTGTATTTGAATTTGTTCACAAAATACAATATTATTTCTATGATCATGTTTATTTTGTTGGTAATATTCTGCTAACCCCACCCTGACATATCATGTGGTTAAATTACAGGGAGGGTGGTAAGACAGGAGCTTTACAGACTTGTAGAATCTGCCATGGTCGTGGTGTAAAAGTAACGATACGTCAGCTTGCACCGGGTATGGTGCAGCAAATGC